TGAGTGTGAGACGGTGGTGGTGGTGAGTGTGAGACGGTGGTGGTGGTGGTGGTGGTGGAGGTGAGTGTGAGACGGTGGTGGTGGTGAGTGTGAGACGGTGGTGGTGGTGGTGGTGGTGGTGAGTGTGAGACGGTGGTGGTGAGTGTGAGTGTGGGACTGTGGTGGTGGTGGTTAAGTTAAGTTAGACAGCAAGAGGGAGCCTTCCTTCTCCTCTGGGATAATGTGCGGTTGTATTTTGTTACTATATAATTACTAATGAAGAGACATGGAAAGCCTCTTTGTTTCCCTGTTAGTTTAGATGATGTTGATATTGTACAAATGAATCAGAAATATTGTTATGCGAGTGTGGTGGTAGGCATAGCACAGGCTACACACACCTCTTTCTGTACTGGATAAACCTATCAACATTAGCATGGAACAGCTTACCCATCAACCTGTTGTTTTAAACTATCGCAGAATAAACAGATCGATGTGGACCTTCCTTATTCTAGACAATGTTACAGACAGTCGCTGATGAGTGGAAGGTGATGGGGAACGCGCAAAGAGGACGGGAGGGGAGGGGGTGAGGGGGTACTGTTGACAAATACTGTCGTTGCCATACATGTTGCTCAGTACCAGCTGAGACATCAAAGAGTGTAGACCGGTCCCCTTAGCTCCGGTTTAATATGGACTTTCTTTTTGGACTCCAGTTTAACATTAACATGGTCATTGTGAGTTACCATAACCTCTTGTGTGTTATGGTGTGCGGTCGGCAGTCAACTCTAAGAGGAGGTAATACTATGGAAGCTGAGGCGGTGACAAACAGATGACTCCCACGGCCCCCTATTACCTTCTCACGTCTTTCCATACATCATATTATCCCGGTCTCCTAGCCATGTGGTATGTGCCATGAGCCATGTGGCATGTGGCCGGAATGTGGAACTTCATATGCTTCTAGATCTTAAACCCATAGAGGCTGGAGGGTGAGGGGGAGGGGTAAGGGGTGTTGTGTACTCACCTATTTGTGCTTGCGGGGGTTGAGCTCTGGCTCTTTGGTCCCGCCTCTCAACTGTCAATCAACAGGTGTACAGGTTCCTGAGCCTATTGGGCTCTATCATATCTACACTTGAAACTGTGTATGGAGTCAGCCTCCACCACATCACTTCCTAATGCATTCCATTTGTCAACTACTCTGACACTAAAAAAAATTCTTTCTAATATCTCTGTGGCTCATTTGGGCACTCAATTTCCACCTGTGTCCCCTAGTGCGTGTGCCCCTTGTGTTAAATAGCCTGTCTTTATCTACCCTGTCAATTCCTCTGAGAATCTTGTACGTGGTGATCATGTCCCCCCTAACTCTTCTGTCTTCCAGCGACGTGAGGTTTAATTCCCGTAGTCTCTCCTCGTAGCTCATACCTCTCAGCCCGGGTACTAGTCTGGTGGCAAACCTTTGAACTTTTTCCAGTTTGGTCTTATGCTTGACTAGATATGGACTCCATGCTGGGGCTGCATACTCCAGGATTGGTCTGACATAGGTGGTATACAAAGTTCTGAATGATTCCTTACACAAGTGTCTAAATGCCGTTCTTATGTTAGCCAACCTGGCATATGCTGCTGATGTTATCCTCTTGATATGGGCTTCAGGGGACAGGTCTGGCGTGATATCAACCCCCAGGTCTTTCTCTCTCTCTGACTCTTGAAGAATTTCATCTCCCAAATGATACCTTGTAACTGGCCTCCTGCTCCCTACACCTATCTTCATTACATTACATTTGCTTGGGTTAAACTCTAACAACCATTTGTTCGACCATTCCTTTAGTTTGTCTAGGTCTTCTTGAAGCCTCAAGCAGTCCTCCTCTGTCTTAATCCTTCTCATAATTTTGGCATCGTCAGCAAACATTGAGAGGAATGAGTCTATACCCTCCGGGAGATCGTTTACGTATATCAGAAACAGGATAGGACCGAGTACAGAGCCCTGTGGGACTCCACTGGTGACTTCACGCCATTCTGAGGTCTCACCCCTCACTGTAACTCTTTGCTTCCTATTACTTAGGTATTCCCTTATCCACTGGAGCACTTTACCAGTTACTCCTGCCTGTCTCTCCAGCTTATGTACCAGCCTCTTATGGGGAACTGTATCAAAGGCTTTCCAACAGTCCAAAAAAATGCAGTCCGGCCAGCTTTCTCTTTCTTGCTTAATCTTTGTCACCTGATCGTAGGTATTATTAAGCCAGTAAGGCAAGATTTACCCTCCCTGTTGAAGGGTTTCTGGCCCACTGTGAGACTTACCTTATCTCCGTGTGATTATAGCGTAGGCGGCAGACGGTGACCCATTGGAAATACACAACTCCTTCCGACTGTCAACTATGCAAGCCGGGAACATCATCATATGTGTTTAGATACCACAGCCCGCCCCTTCATAAACACATCCTGAAAGAGAGAAAGACGAGGGTGACTGCAGCAGATGCCTCTTCCTACAGCCCTCTTATCTCTCTTTCTCCTCGAACACCACTTGACCCACACCTTACAACAACAACAACATATTACCAGCTCTCCTACCCCTTATCTTCTCTCTTGTGTGTGTGTGTGGGGAGGGGGCACCCCTCGGGGGGGGGGGGCGGCACCCCTCGCTCAACATAGTCATCTTCCCTACTTACTATTATTTAACTATATATCTACATATCCCACTGATGCTGCTGCTTAACTCTACGATACCAACATATACACACCTGCTCCTGCTGCACACCTGTTCCTATACTCACTCCTCCTTCTACTACCCCCCCCCCCCCCCCCCCCCCCCCCCCGAGACACACAACGTCCTGGGAGACACCGAACTCTACGCTCAAAAGACACACACTTTAATTTTAAACACACCTGCTGTTGCTGCTGCTGATGCTAGACACCTGTTCTTATACCTACTCCTTTTACCGTTACACACTTATACCCCCCAGCGACACATAACGTCCCGGGAGACGTGGAACATCCTGCCCCCGCGCACCCTCGGAACCTCATACACCCATTGAGACGTGACTTCCGTGATTATCTGTGACAGGTACACCCAATCGCACAACTGTCACAGGTGTTGCGGATGGTCTACGTCCCAGTTTATGCTACTATTGTCAAGGTCTTGAAACTTTGTGCGTTATTATTTTGTAAATTGCAAAATTGTTCATCAGTGATGGATTACACGAAATTGTAAATAACCTAGCTATATATTAATGAAATTTTTATCGGAAAAAACTTTTTAATGTGAACAATTCCATTGAATAAATGTTCTTAAAGGGGTCTTAGCGAACCATTTAAGACACAGGAGTAAATTAAAAAATAGACACAATAACTACAACTAAAAAAGCGAGTCAGATCTACGTCAGTTCTTGACATATCTCAAAAGAAAACATTTTACATTTACAGAAAGCGGAGCGTAAACAACATGTCTTCGCTTCTTCATGTAGTAGGAAGAAGCATGTCAGCAACGAGGGTGTGGCGTCAGGTGTGCCCCATCTTGCAGTGCCTCAGTCAACAACGGGCCACACCTCATCTCAGTCCATTTTCCTCAGCTATGACAATGCAGTGCTCCCACCGCTCGCCCAAATTGTAAGAAAATATTCTTTATTGTCCCATCAATACTAATAGTATTAAGCGTAGAAACGTCTTACATAAGCCTTTAAAATTTAAGTCTTTTAAATGTAAAACAACTTTTCCCATCCCCCCTTTGTCCCCCTCCTCCCCCCTACCTTTCACCTCTTCCCATTATCTCATTAGATATATTATTAGGAAGGACTGAAACAACTATATGGGTCTTTTATCCCCACTTCATCCTCCTCCTTTTCTCATACCACTTTAGTGCCTTCATCCTCCCCTCTCCCACCACACTTTGGTGCCTTCATCCTCCCCTCTCCCACCCCACTTTGGTGCCTTCATCCTCCCCTCTCCCACCCCACTTTGGTGCCTTCATCCTCCCCCTCCCTCTCCCACTTTGGTGCCTTCACTCCCACCACACTTGGTGCCTTCATCCTCCCCTCTCCCACCCCACTTTGGTGCCTTCATCCTCCCCTCTCCCACCCCACTTTGGTGCCTTCATCCTCCCCTCTCCCACCCCACTTTGGTGCCTTCATCCTCCCCTCTCCCACCCCACTTTGGTGCCTTCATCCTCCCCTCTCCCACCCCACTTTGGTGCCTTCATCCTCCCCTCTCCCACCCCACTTTGGTGCCTTCATCCTCCCCTCTCCCACCCCACTTTGGTGCCTTCATCCTCCCCTCTCCCACCCCACTTTGGTGCCTTCATCCTCCCCTCTCCCACCCCACTTTGGTGCCTTCATCCTCCCCTCTCCCACCCCACTTTGGTGCCTTCATCCTCCCCCTCCCACCCCACTTTGGTGCCTTCATCCTCCCCCTCCCACCCCACTTTGGTGCCTTCATCCTCCCCTCTCCCACCCCACTTTGGTGCCTTCATCCTCCCCCCTCCCCCACACCACTATGGTCCCCCCGTCTTTGTCTGCACCAGCCCACCGCTGATAGGCTGGTGCAGACTGTAAAGCACTCCGGTAAGCCCTCCCATTATCACCGGCCAGCCCCTCCCTGGTAAACCCCGCCCATCTACACCGGCCCGCCCCTCCCTGGTAAACCTCGCCCATCTACACCGGCCCGCCCCTCCCTGGTAAACCCCGCCCATCTACACCGGCCCGCCCCTCCCTGGTAAACCCCGCCCATCTACACCGGCCCGCCCCTCCCTGGTAAACCCCGCCCATCTACACCGGCCCGCCCCTCCCTGGTAAACCCCGCCCATCTACACCGGCCCGCCCTCCCTGGTAAACCCCGCCCATCTACACCGGCCCGCCCCTCCCTGGTAAACCCCGCCCATCTACACCGGCCCGCCCCTCCCTGGTAAACCTCGCCATCTACACCGGCCCGCCCCTCCCTGGTAAACCCCGCCCATCTACACCGGCCCGCCCCTCCCTGGTAAACCCCGCCCATCTACACCGGCCCGCCCCTCCCTGGTAAACCCCGCCCATCTACACCGGCCCGCCCTCCCTGGTAAACCCCGCCCATCTACACCGGCCCGCCCCTCCCTGGTAAACCCCGCCCATCTACACCGGCCCGCCCCTCCCTGGTAAACCCCGCCCATCTACACCGGCCCGCCCCTCCCTGGTAAACCCCGCCCATCTACACCGGCCCGCCCCTCCCTGGTAAACCCCGCCCATCTACACCGGCCTGCCTTCCCTGGTAAACCCCGCCCATCTACACCGGCCCGCCCCTCCCAGGTAAACCCCGCCCCTCCCTGGTAAACCCCGCCCATCTACACCGGCCCGCCCCTCCCTGGTAAACCCCGCCCATCTGTTCATCCAGATGAATGGACAGATAAATGAATAGATAGAAGGATGGATACACAGATGAATTGATGGATGGGCAGATAAATGGATAGATTCATGTATATATTGATAGTTGGATGGATCGATGGATAGATAGATGGATTAATAGATGGACGGATGGATAGATAGGGAGGTGGGTGGATAGTCAGAAAGATAGATAGATAGATAGATAGATAGATATATACTGATGAATAGATAGAATGGTAAAATATAGACCGTCTCCATGGCGATCTGGTTTGAGGAGGAGGAGATTCCAAAGCACTAGAACCCGTTCTTCACTGCTTCCTGGGCCTGTTCTGGTGTTTCGAAGGTCATCTTCATCGTGGGTCGAGTGGCGTCGTTTGTCTTAAGAAAAGCTGTCGTTGCTTTCAGAGTAGGGTTTTCTTCGTTCACTTGCCGCACTATGGTGTCGGCATCCGCTAACCAGCGGTTCAGCCTGTCCAGAAATATCGTCTTCCCGGCTGTGATTTGTCTGGGAGGAATCAGTGACAGGTTCGCCTCCAATAGTGAGACCCGGCGTTCTGTATCCAGGACCTAGATTCACGTAGCTCCATGTATTTCTTCGTAAGTGGGTTTGCTAAGTGTGCCCTAAAAAGATGCTTAGGTGCGATTCACGTAGGTCCACTTAGGAATGATATTTGGGTTTTGGGTCTGGTTCACCTGCGTGCCGATAGAGGTCACTACTGTGTTTCGTTTGGCCAATCAGAGAGCAGCAACATTCTTCATATTGAAGATTTAGTGCTGGCTTATCGAAGCTCTACTGCCTCCTATTTTTGTCGAATTTTCTTATAAAATTAGTATATTTCGAAGTAAAACAATGTTTTTTCAACTTCTACAGCCAGCACCGACATTGTAGTAAACAAATATGTTACATTTGTTGTTTACCTACGTAATTCTAAGAGATACTGTGTAGCTGTCCTTGTTGCTCGGAAGATGCGCTGACAATTATTGTATATATTTACTGAATTTACCAAAGGGCCACTAACTATCTAGTGGCCTCGACGAGGACAGAAAGCCGGCGGCTTGTTAAAGGGCCCGCCAATTGTCTTAATGATATTTTTTAGCTGGAATTTGGCATTTACGGCTTCAGCGGGTAGGCGGTTCCATGGGTTTATAACCCTCTTGGTGGAAAAAAACATATGTTTTCAGTCCTACTTGAGAGGACATACTCTCCAACACTATATCTGTGATTGCCCTGTTATCAGCGACTTCATACAAAATGGTATGAGGTACTTTGAGCTCTGTGAGTACTTCATACACTCAGGAATATTGGAAGATATTCTTATGCTGCACCCAGATTTTACCAGTGGAGGTTAATAGATCAGTCTTAAGTATTTTGTTCTCTCCTGATTCCATGTATGACTGGTCGTCCTGTGAGGTGAGGATGTTGGATGAGCTTGTAGCTGATTTTTTATCTACACTGTGTGGTCCTTCATACAAAATAGGAAAACAGCACATTGCAGTGTATACCTAAACATGTTAAAAAATACATTGTTTGAGAGGAGTCTTGTAGAAACTGGTAAGAGTAATTATAATATTATGTTTCCATGATTCAGTGCTTTCCTCTTGTGAAAATCGTGAAGAGTTGTTTAGTCAGAGTTGATTTGTTTTTCGTATTGAGGCTGGTATTTTGTACCTTGATTCCATGTATGTCTAACCATCCTGTGAGATGGGAGTATTAGATAAACTTATAGCTAGTTTTTTATCTACACTGTGTAATATTCCTTATAGAATAGGGTAGCAGCACATTGCTGTGTATACTTAATCTTAATAAAAAAATCAGTTATAAAGATTTTAAATTATAGTTTGTATTATTACAAGCATTGTATTATCCTTATTAAATCATGTTAACCATGGATCACTAAGATCTCATGTTGATATGTAATAGTCATATTTCTTTTGAACTGCTATTCCATGCTAATCATTTTTTAATCATTCATTAAATTGTGCATTATGTAAATTTTTCACTTCTATGGATATACAGTACAGTACGAAAAGATAGGATAAAAATAAACCAGTAATATTTCTTTCATTATATTTTTTTATTTAAATAACTGCATCAATATTTTTATAGCTGACAGGATTTGTTTTACCATACAGGTGCGTTATTTGTTAAAAAAAAATTGGTTTATTGTTACACACAATGGTGCTACATAGCCTTCCCAGCTTGGTGCCTTCTTTTGATACTTACTTACTGATTAATAAATAAATAATAATAAATAAATTTTATTCAGGAAAAGTACATACAGTTGATTTACAAACATAATGTTGGTTTTATAGAGAGAGCTAGTACATACAATTCCTAAAGCCACTAATACTCAGAGCATTTCGGGCAAGGTGTGGGGGAAAAAACACTTGAGGTTATCTTGAGATGATTTTGGGGCTTTAGTGTCCCCGCGGCCCGGTCCTCGACCAGGCCTCCACCCCCAGGAAGCAGCCCGTGACAGCTGACTAACACCCAGGTACCTATTTTACTGCTAGGGAACAGGGGCATAGGGTGAAATAAATTCTGCCCATTGTTTTTCGCCGGCGACTGGGATCGAACCCAGGACCACAGGATCACTAGTCCAGCGTGCTGTCCGCCCGGCCGACAAACTATGTCTCACTTAGACAAAAACTTAATAGTAATCGGGATTAGGTATAAATTGTGTTGAAAGAAGGAATAATAAAAAAGGTGGGGGAGTAACATAGCACAAATCAGCAATTGTACACGTTGGTGAACAGCGTTGTTTATAAAATAGGAAGACATGGGTTGACATTTAGGGCGTAAGATAGGTTAAATGGAGTTAATTAGGTAGTACTTGGTTTTACTCTTAAACTGGTTGAGAGAGGTACAGCCATTGACATGATTCGGGAGGTCATTCCACATTCTGGGTCCCTTGATTTGTAGAGCACTTCCAGTTTGGTTACACACAGCCAAATTGTGTAACAGGAAGAGGTCTTGGACACAAATTTGTTCTATGCTAAATGTAGAGGAATCAATTGAGTATTCCTCAAATAAAATAAGTAAGTAAGTAACTATCAAAAGAAGGCACCAAACCGGGAAGGCTATGTAGCACCATCAAATGTGCAGAATAATCAAAGGGCGCTAAATATCACCAAGGATGCCAATACGAGAACAAAAACGCATAAGGCGAACGATATCAAAAGTATCCGAGTCACCAAGAATTCTATCGAGGGACAGGTGACCGCGAGGGGCGGTCAGGACATGCACGACCGTAAGAG